CTCTTCCTATCTGTTCCCATGCAAGAATTCTCAGAATACATTTTTTTCCTACAGATTTTCATCATTTTGTGTCTTAATGCCCTGACTGGCATTCACAAGTGTGGTCTTGCCTCATTCATAGTGGTTTGGAAAGTTGCAGCTGGGATTAAGCCTTTGAACCTTTCACCCCTTTTGAATCTTTCTGTTGGTTCCCATTCTCAGGCGCATCGAGCAGTTGGCTGGTTTGGTTTCTAGGTCCCCTAAGATTTGCTGTCTGTATGCATAATTTTTCTTGTGCTAGCAAAATGCCGACTTCTATTCTCCAGTAAAGCAGTGGTGATATCTTTTGTCTTCACCCTTTTAGTATTTTCAAACAAATGGTGTTTGTAAAGATTTTCAGCAGTGCTGCAGCGTTGATAGAGTTCTCCACAAATATCTGCAAAGCTGCCCTTCAAACTTATTGAGGTTCTCCTTTAATACAATGCCTAGAGAGAAATGGTGAAAGATGGAAAATCTTGGATTCTATCATTATGAATAATATTTTCTCAACATTTCCTTACACGTTCCTCTCTATGTTTGCATGTATTTGTCCTTTTTTCCCCTCCTCGTGGTTAGGCTGGGTAGCTTTTGAGCTTTGCTTCTCCTCTCTGTTGGCGCAGCGTGTGTCGCTCAGGAGACCCTCTGGCCCTCTGTGACTCACTTCTTGGTGCTCCAGAATACAAATACAAAAATGACAGGATATCCTTTTTCATACAGTACACAGCAAGGCTGGGAAATCAATAGCTGCAGATTATCACTGTGGACAAACTTTGGGAGAGTCTAGAAATGGTGTATTTGTTGTATAGCAAGAGTACCTAAAGTTGCATTATTTCTAAGTAGAAAAAGCAAAAGTGAAAAGATAGATAAAAACCTTGTTCTTCAGGGGGTAGGTTGACTAACTGATGAGAAGAAGTGCACTTTTTGAGAAGGACATCTGTCAGCTTCCTACTGTGTGGTGTTTTGCAATGTTGTCTGAACCAAAGATTAGTGAGAACTTCAACTGAAATACATTGCAGGAGGGCCCAGCTCTGAGTCCCAGTTCTTCCTCTTTCGGAATTCAAAAAGGACTTTGCTCTGACTCAACCCTGATCATGATTCTCTGGAGTTTTGGGACAGAACCTTTAACACTTGGCAGTAAGGAATCAAATAATTTCATTATACTGTGAAGCAAAATTGTTTTTTAAAATGTAAAAAGTAGACATGAAATGAAATTGCTACTTATAGTAAGGGCTACTTTAAGCATCTGGTACCAATTACTTCTAGAAGTATGTTACTGGATTAGGTAGATCATTGATCTGGTCAGTCATGGCAGTTTGTGTATTCCTGTCAAAACTGCTGTTGCAGAGGAATTATTTTTAATTATTGGAAGGGTATTTAAAAAATTACATAGAGGCTGAGACGAGGACGCTAGTTTTTAACTTGTTTTGAAGGCAGTCTGCTGTCTTGCCTAATAAGCTTTTAATGGTGGAATGGTTGAGGTGGGAAACAGGCCAAGAACAAAGGGAAGAAAATGTAACAACCCTAATTGTAGGGCTGATGGTTCGTAGTGCACTGGGACTGGCAGGTCCTGGTAACACAGCACTTACATCACATTAATTAAAGAGCTGTTAGGTTAAAAGTGACTTTCATGAACTGTTTTATTTTATTCCAATCCGTAATTCTGCAAACAGTTGTAACATTTTTCAGTCTGATGTCTTCCCTGCTACTTTCTGCTTCTTAAAGAAGTACAATTTTCAAATACTGTGTTGTAAAGCAACAAATTGGAGAAGATCAATGTAACTGAGGAGGTCTTGGTGCCTTATCATTTTATCTGATTAAAACACGTTGGAAGATTATCTGTCCTCTATTAGGTGTGTAGTAACATAATGCTGCCTAGGAGACATAAAGCGTGTGCATGCTCTCTCTCACTTACATACTTGTTATGATTAGTATTAAATTTCCCCAGTTGTATTTAGTAATGCTTGTGATTCTTTTGTGCTTTGTGACTGAAAATTCACCATAACGGGTGCCTAATCTGCAGCTTTGATTTGGGTTCTTACTGTAATCACATTTTAAACATGCACTGGCCCTATTTGAAGGGTCCTTAAAAAGCTGGTTTTTTCACTACAGATCTGGATTTTTAAGTTGAAAACAAATTGTTGAAAGCTGCTGAAATAGCACTCTATCTAATTAGTTCTTCTTTTCCTCAGCCTTATCTGCCCACAAAGGAGAGGACATGTCCCAGTTCAGTCATGCAACTGGCTGAGAGCCTGAAACAGATCCCAAGCTGAGACTTGAGCTTCCACTCTTCTGTTGCTTGGGGATTGCCTCCAAGCTTTTTGTTTCTATTTTGGTTCAGATAGAATTTGAAAGGAAGGTGTCCCTAGGAGAAGTGATACATGTATTGCCTAAACTGGGACAATGGAGGCCAAGTCACTGGGTTTGTAGATCTGCTCTGCCACTGGCAACTCGCCTATCCTCCTGTGCCTCAATTCCCACCTCTGGGAAGTGGAGCTAACACCCAGCTTTGCAAATGTAAATGAAATCCCATGCCTCTTCTTCAAGGCACTTTGAATTTTTTTGGCAAGATGTCTGTCTGTGTACAGTTGTGACAATAATTCCTTTGTTTGAGCCTTTTGAGTGTTGCAGTTGTGGGCAATCTGTCTGGAGCAACAAGGTTCTCTGTTGCTCTGATGAGCAAGAATGAACTCAGAAATACAATGCAGAGGAAAAGCTTGATAGATTTATCACAGTTAATTATTAAACGAACCTTGTATTAAAGACCTTTATGCAAAATATGTTCCTACTTTGATTTCTATGATTAAAGGAGCCTGTCTCCTCTCTACAGAGAAGAAAGATCTTAATTACTTAAGTAGAGCAACAACCCAGAAACCTGAATGTTTTAGTCCCCCTTTGTTTCTCTAAAACATGGATTTTGCTTGCAGGCATAAAACTGCTGAGGACAAAAGTTCTGTAAAAAGCAGATCTCCATAGTACCCCAGAACCTTATACCTGATGAGTATTTGAGTTAGATGCTTGCTGGCTGTGAAGGCCTGTGCAAGTGGCCTGTTCTTGACTCATGGAGTGTAAAATGGACATCTGTCATGCAAAGCAGCTTTCTCATACTAAGGTAGCCTTGTCCCTGCAAGTGGCGGTTGCCACTTGTCTGCCACTGCCCTTTCTTCATCTTTGTTGGTTTTTGGTGAAGCAGTGGCTGTGACTGACTGGAGCGTTGGCTCTGAAGATCAAGGATAAGAAAATGTTTATGCTGTGTCACAGATTATTTATTCATTTATTTATTTCCTGAATGATCCCCAACCAGTCACTTAATCTCTTTATAAACTGGCAATTCATCTGTAAAGTCAAGACTGTAGGCTGGCTACCTCACTGGAACCAGTGTGTGGAAGTATCTGAGCTGCTCAGCCTTTCCAGCAGCAAAAAGAAACTAGAGGTCTGGTTTCTCTCTCTGACATGGTCTTGCATTTTCTGGGCAAACCTGTTGAAGTCCCTTCGTTTTGCTGCTGCAATTATTTTTTTTGCACCTTGAAAAAAGGGGAAATATATTCTCCTGGTTTCACAGGAGTATTATAAGGAAACTTCTGTCAGTGCTAGTGAACCATGGTGTAACAGTATAGTGGGACAGGAACTGCACCTGCCTCCACTTGTTTCTATATTCTGTGAGCTCGAAGAGCTACGTGGCCCAAGTATGTATCAAAATGTCAGGTTTTCCATCCAGGAATTCAGTAAAAAGATTTTTTGGAAGAAGTGTGCACTGTTTTATGTGGGGAAAATTTTTCTGCGTAAACCTTAATGAGAAAATACACTGGGGGATACTTCAGGGACAGCTTTTTCATTTTCATTTGTAAATACAATTTTTGAAAGCCCTCTAACTATCCATCTCATTTTTTCAGAGTTTCTATTGATCTTTTAATATGGGAGGAAGCTCACCAATCCTATGCCACTGTTATTAGCAGACTGTGTATAATTCAGATCTTGAGCATGCTAGAACCTAGATACTAGCTTTGTTTTATTCTCTTCTCAATTTATGCAGTGCTAAAAATTCCTGCAATTTTAAAAACTAGTTAATAAAACTATTTAATGACCAGAAGTCAAATCCTGCATTGTCATACATTACAGGGTATTCTTCTGTGGTTAATTCTGTTCTGACTAAATGTCCAGAAAATTGTAGTTTCTCACAAATTATACTAGAAGACAGGCATTTACTTTCTATAAAAATGGTGATTTTATGAAATTCACTTACACAGAGTACTGTGCTTGGCTGACAGTCTTCAAAATGGCCTGATCTTGTAAGCACAGGCAAATCTAAAATATACATTCAGTGGAAAATCAGTGGTTCTTGTTCTCTGAAGTTTAGTGTTTTGTTTTACAATGTCATTCAGTCTTTGAGGATGCATTCTGGAGACAATAAAGCAAGCAGTAAGATCAGCAATAACATATTTGTGAGTTAAACTCACAAGCGGTAGGTTATTTTGCACTAGTGTGTTTTCCCATACAAGACATGAACTTTTCTGCTGGTTTATTGGCAATATTTATTATTGTCCTGCATTGTTTCTAGCTTAAAGTAGGACCCCCACTCTGGTGAACACTGTATAAAACCAGCAAAATAGGCAGCCTGTGCCCTGAATTAGTTACTGTTTAAGAATCAATATTGCCAATGGAACCTCATTAAAAATACAGATTTTGCAGCAACTGGGTGTTTTGCAGTTTATTTGAGAAAAGCAAAGGCTTCATTAATTACATTTTTTTAGCAGAGATTCCTTTCAACAACTGCATGGAATTTAGTAATTTGAAACCAATAACACGTCACTTTAGATGGAATATGGAGTTGTGAACTCAGCCCTGCTCTCTGCTTCCTCTCACAGCATTGCACAAACACTGTTGGGTTTTTTTATTTGAAAATCAGTGGTATATTGACATAAATACCTTCCAGTTGTAAATTGTGCTTTTTAAAATTGAGTACTGTCTTTTGTGTGTTTCTTCAGGGCTAGCTGGAAAAATTATAAAAGCCATCATCAGTGAAGGATTTCAGATCTCAGCTTTGCAGATGGTAGGTTTCCTTTTGTGTATGTTTTTCCGATAAACAGAAGTTGGAGAAGTGCTGTATGCTTTTCACAGCAATGCACAGGTGTCTTCCTGCAATATAAAACCCTTGTGCAGACTCTGTAGCGATGTTTTGGGTTTAGCATTGTCCTTGTGATATTTGTGTTTTATTATTTGATTGATCAGCTGATCTGTTTCTCCTTGCTGGGTGACCTTGAGCCAAGACACTTTACCTCTCTGTGTCTCAGTTTCCCTATAGTTACAAGGGGGATAATGATAACACTCTCTCTTGGAGTAATTTGAGATATCTTTACAAAACGTGCTAGCTAGGGTTAGAGAAATGATTGTTAATATCCTTCTGTAAATTTTTAAAATAGATATTTAGTATGAATTTAGAGGAAAATTTTAAAAGATACTTAAAGGATTTTGACACCCTGATCACACTCAGCAGTTAAAGGAAGTTGGCACAGAGATTGTTCCCAAGACTAGTCCTGTAAGCTCTGCCCTTTGATTTTTGTGAAAGTGTCAAGATCTGAAAACACAGAATCATAGAATGGTTTAGGTTGAAAGGAACCTTGAAGATCATCTAGTTCCACCCCCCCTGCCATAGGCAGGGACACGTCCCACTAGACTAGGTTGCTCAAAGCTGATCTTAAACACCTCTAGGGATGGAGCTTCCACAACTTCCCTGTGCAACCTGTTCCAGTGTCTCACCGCTCTCGGAGTGAAAAATTTCTTCCTAATATCTAATCTAAATGTACCTTTTACCAGTATGAAGCCATTACCCCCCATCCTATCACTACATGCCCTTGTAAAAACTCCCTCCCCAGCTTCCCTGTAGGCCCCCTTTAGGTACTGGAAGGCCACAATAAGGTCTCCCTGGAGCCCTCTCTTCTCCAGGCTGAACAACCCCAACTCTCTCAGCCTGTCTTCGTAGGAGAGGCTGATCAGCCCTCTGATCATCTTTGTGGCCCTCCTCTGGACCCACTCCAGCAGGTCCATGTCCTTCTTATGTTGGGGGCTCCAGAGCTGGATGCAGTACACCAGGTGGGGTCTCGCGAGAGTGGAGTAGAGGGGCAGAATCACCTCCCTTGACCTGCTGGCCACACTTCTGATGTAGCCCAGGATGTGGTTGGCCTTCTGGGCAGCAATCATGCATTGCTGGCTCATGTTGAACTTCTCATCAATCAGTACCCCCAGGTCCTTCTCCTCAGAGCTGCTTGATCCATTCTCTGCCGAGCCTGTATTTGTGCTTGTGCCCCTATGACTCAAATCCACACCACAAATGAAGAATAGCCCCTTTCCTTTACTAGGCAACAAACAGATCCTCTTGCGTATCTCAGTGGCATCAGCCAACACTACATCGTCTACTTTTAAGGTGGAAGAAGATACTGTGTGCCATTGCCTGTGGCGTCATTGGCTAAACTGTTGACAAACTTCGTATAGCAGCTATAAAGCCATTCCTTTTACCTAGCAAAACATAAGAGTATTCTGAATGTTTGCTGTTGAAGAAGGGGTGCCTGTCTATTTTTTGTTGTTGTTGTTTAAGGCAGACTGGCTAACATTTTTGTTTTCTTAGTTCAACATGGAGCGTGCAAATGTGGAAGAATTTTATGAGATTTACAAAGGTGTCGTCGCTGAATACGTGGTAAGCATAAGTTTGAGAAGAATCTGTTTAAAAATAAAACATGATTAAATGAGGAAGCGGTCACACCTTTCCTCTTTTGGGATTGTATGATAGGATTTATTTTAGGAACCTGGTATTGACCAGTTCTAGCTTGTTCTCAAATAAACTAATTCATCTTGAAAATTGTGCTATCTGTGTTGTAAGAAAGAAGAATCTTCTGTGAAAATTGTGCAGCCAAGGAATTTGTAAAATACAACAGAGTGGGAAAAAACCCTCCTCAGATAAGTTATTTTATTGCCGTAGAGCTATGGGAATGTGTCACATCTGTATCTTTGTTTGATTTGATATTGCTGTAGTGGCTTGGACCGGAATATATATTTATTATTTTGTTTGCAATGGGGCTGCTCTATTTGAGTGTGCTCCTAATGACATTTTCAGCTATTCTTAAATTTATTGATCTGACTTTTTTGAGTCTTCAGAAAATTTAAGAAGTTTAAGATAGGCTGTAATCCCAGTGGATGTCTAAGGCTCTGTGTATTATTATGCCTTGTTGTATTGTCACATAAAACTTCCCAACTGCAGACAGAGCAACGGGGATACAGGAAGATGAGCTTGCATTTCCGTGTCACCTTCTATCAGAGAATTTTGGTTCATTTTACAAATAATGAGTTTAGCTTCACTGCCATTCTATGTAGTGTGCAAATTATCCTTAATTTTAAAATGGTTACATTATTAAAAGTTCTCTACACAGTTACTAGTATTACTCCATACAGTTACTAATGTTACTCTGATAATGACATTTTTATTTTAATTTCTTCCACCTTTATGATTGTTTAGTCCAACTTACTTCAACAGGGTTTGTAGATTTGTCTTTAAATAGGTTAGCAGTACTGTTAGTTCACTCTCAGATTGGGGGATACTCTTAAAGTCTCCTCTGACAACACCATTTTTGACAAGGACCAAAGGAAGACTGGACAGGCAGACTTGTATGTACATGGCAGAATTCAAATATTGTAATATCTAACCAGTATTTCAGAGCCCGAAGAATCCCATGGTACTGCAAAAGTCTCTGCTTTGAACCAACTTGGAAATTTTCTAATGTCTTCTGCAGCTCTTTTGTACAATCTCTGACCCCCTAATAAATTGCAAATTTTAGTTATATAATTTAATTGGAGAGTTACTCAGAAGGGAAAGTGACATTTAAACAGAGTAAGTCAATAAAAAGATATGTTTTAGATGGGATTTGAAGAAAAGTGAGAATCTAGAGCTCTGTCCAGCAAGCCATATGTGCTGGATGCACTCAGATGAAATGAAATGAAATTAAATTAATATCTCCGTGCACTTAGGATATCTGTGAAACAGGAAAACATGGGAAAGCTAATCATGATGGTAAAGGGATCCAGAGAAGGCACATATGGGAACAGCAATAGATATTGTCAGGCCAAATAGGAAGAAGTATGTTGCGAAATAGGATATTGAAGAAAGAATATGACCTCTTATATCTGTGACTCAGAACCGTCTGTTTTGATCTGAATTTTACTTATCATTCCAAAATAACTTGGCACAGAAGATACTTGGCATCCAGAAAGCCTTTTCAAAAACTGTGTTCCCGTTTCTTCTGGTTACTCCTTGTCAGTCAGATAAAGGCTTGACATTGTATATAAAGCACTTCTCCCTGAAAAGAGAAAGCTGAACAATTGCCCGAAGTTTTAGCTTTGTTGGTATCTTCTGCATGGGATTTTGCATACTTTGATTAGGTTTTGTGCTGTTTTGCTTTGTATTTCCTGCTGTAGCCAGAATAGAAAATAGGAAAAAAAAGGAGGGAGATTATTTTGGGTCAGCTCAGAATTCACATTGTTAATCAAAAATGCTTGAGCTCGATCCAGCTCCAGGAATGGGTTTGGTTGACCACAAGCCGTGTTATTTGATGAATAAACTATTTGCTAAAGAAAATCTGATACAGCTGTAACTGAGAATCTTACCAGAGAAACAGTATCTGCTATTTGAATTCAACTCTGGACTTGATGAGGCTATGTAAGGTAGACCGAGCTTGTCTCACATAGTACCACATGCCTCTGTGTTGTAGCTGATGGCAGCTGGTCTTCAGTCCTCAGCTTTGTGTTGTAATGAAGGAGTCAGGAGTGACTTTGCTCACGTTGTTTGTTGTTGCTGGTGGGATGTCAGTGCTGATACAGAAACAATAGTAAAGGGAGGAACTAGAAAAAACCTAGTTTGCAGGGAGGAATTGAGTTGATTCACCTCTAGTTAAAAGCCTGGTTTTTCTCCACTTTCCTGTTAACAGTTATTTAGATGAAAGAATTCAATTAACTTGTACAGTGTAGTGACTTTGTGGCAATTCACTGTGTCTTAACAGAATGAAATCTATTGTCCTTTGACCTGTTCTTAACAGAGGATCCGTGGTGATATGACAATTTTTGGAATTGAAATATTTATTCATGTTGTAGAGCACGAAACTAGTCTGCACTCTTTTCATGTCCTCTCAGGAACACTTCTACCTACATTTCCTAGGATAAGGTTGGTGATAGAGGCATTTGGCAAAAATTCAGTCCTGTTGACTTCAGAGTGGGGAGATTAAGCACATGCTCTCAGCATGGAATCTGTTATGAAGATACCAACTCTTTGGAACAATACTGCTTGACTTGGAGTCTTTGTGTATTTAGTTTCCATCACATTTCATAAAAGGCAGAAAAGGACTCAATCCTTCTTTTGCTACTGGTTTTCTCCCCCCCTCTGTATGCTCTTGTTCTTTGCCATGGCTCATCCTTGACCCTGCCCATGGCTGGTGGGTGTGGTTGCAGTACTTGCTTGTCCTTCCCTGTCTTCCCTTACTTCCTGTGAATGTCTTCTCCTTTCCTCATTGGTTTTGATTGTTTTAATAGTCCTGATTTTTTTTTTTAAAACTTGTCTGCCCAAATTTCTAGACAAGTATGCAGTTATAAGGGCATGTTTTAAAAAAGGAACTCAGACTAGAACATCAAAATACATTCTTTCTGCCTGTGAAACTTATACTTCTAATTAACAAACTCCAGTTCGGCACTAATGCCCAGGCTTAATTTAAGCTTGTGAAAATTAAGACCCATCTTCATCACCCACTCAGAACTCATGATGTCTCTCTACTCTCCAAGAGGCTCCAGGGAAGCAGATGATTTCAGTGTAACTGAGATTCTGGTAACAGTACAGCACAAGAATGTTGCCAGATCAAGTACCCTTTCCCTAACAAGTTGTGCCACAGGCCCCTTTCAATTCTGTTCTGTTGGCTTGTATGTTTCAGCTTCTGTAGTAATATGTGAGGAAAAGACAGTGAGAACCAAAAGCCCAAGAGACATTTTGGGCTTAAATGACTTAAATGACATAAAGCCATCAAATGGGTATATATTTGGAAACAAATATTGGCTGTGTACTGTGCTCCCTGTAGGGAACACTGCAAAGTACATTGCTGCCTGTGGAACTGGCTCAACATGGTGTGATTTTTTTTTTTCAGGCTTATACCCAGTAAAGTGTGTTCCATTGATTCAGTCTAGTTTGACAAATTATGGGATAATTCTGTGAAATGCAGATCTAGATCAATAAGGATGTACAAAAGAATTTAAGGTATTGTGGATGCTGTTGCATGCTATTCAGTATCCTCTTGAAGCTGAATATCCAATTTACACAGAATCACAGAATGGTCAAGTTTGGAAGGGACCTCTGGAGATCATCTAGTCCAACCCCCCTGCCAGAGCAGGGTCGCCTACAACAGGTTGCACAGGACGGCGTCCAGGCGGGTTTTGAGTGTCTCCAGAGTGGGAGACTCCACAACCTCTCTGGGCAGCCTGTGCCAGTGCTCCACTACCCTCAAAGTAAAGAAGTTCCTCCGCATGTTAAGATGGAACTTCCTATTACCTCAATCTTCACTTTCTAAACCAAGTAGCAAAACGGAAAACATTTATTTTGTTGCAAATACTAATGACCTCTTTATTTCATGTCTTTGCTTTCCTAGATGCACCAATATTTCTTAATTGTTACTGTCCTGTAATTTTGGGTCTAGTTTGGGGAAGTAATACAACCCTTGCTCGTGCCCAAAGAAGCTCAGATTTGTTTCTGTCTCTCTTCTTGTCCAGGAGATGGTTACAGAATTGTGTTCAGGGCCTTGCATAGCAATGGAGATTATACAGCCTGAGCCTCCAAAAGTGTTCAGAGACTTCTGTGGTCCTTCTGATCCTGTAAGTACTTGCTTGAGTGATAAGGAAAACTTAAAAAGTTGATGTGCTGTCTATGTGAATTAAAATTTTGTGGTGTGGTATGGCTGCCATGTCCCTGCTGCATTCGTTGGAAACATGTAAGCATTACCTTATTATGGAGGTGAAATGCTAGTCTTACTGGACCAATTTATAAATCCCCTAGCAGCTCTTCTGATCTTACCTAAACTCGATGATAAAATACTGTGATGATATGTGAAAGCAAAGCTATCTAGTCAAAAATCTTTGTTGAAGGTTCATAAATATTCTAACCCAAGGCTTCAGAGCCCTGGAACAAATAGTTATTGCTTGTGCATGCCAGTGTAAATCAAATGTTAGTCCACTGCGGTCGGTGTCATTCTCCTAGGGTGAAACTGTAAAAGGAGAATCGGTTCCTTTGTTTTTTTGGAAGGAAACGAACAAAAAAGGGCGTAAAAGTTCTCATACCTGTTAGCTATGCTGATGCTTCTAGCTTTTATTTTTGATTTCTTCAGGTGACTAACTGGGTATGTGTGATGCTGTGTGCAATTTGGAGACAAGCATAAGTGCTGTCTCAAAAAGTTTGCAGTTCTTTCTTAAACAGTGAAGGCTACTATACCATACAGAGCCATGAAGTGAAATATCAAGATGGAGGCAATGAGGTCAGGGTTTTTATGTTTTTTTGGTTAAGTTTTGATGTTTTAGTTGCAGACTGAGTGGGTTTACCAATTTCCATGGAAAAAATTCACACAGATTAATATTGGAAGGGGAGAACAAGTTGTTCAGGATGTATTTTTCTCCAAGTCCAGAGTTTCTATTACAGAAAGCACAAATTATAGGCATTATCCAAACCCTTTTTTCTCCTTCTATTTAGTGAGATTGAAAAGTTTCTCTGCTGGGTTAGCATCTTGTAAGCAGACCATAACCTGTTTATCTAACTTAGTTTTAACTGCAGGATGATATATCAGTAGTAATGTACACAATATGATGGTTTCAGTTTTGTTTCAGATTCCATGTTTAAAGTTTCTGATCTTTAAAACTCTCAAAGATGCTGTTGTTATATTTGGGTCTATTATCTCCTTTTCCTGTTTCTGCTTGTTTAATGCCTGATACATTAAAATCAAAATATGCTTGCAAGCAACACAGCTGCATTAGGTTGTTAAAGACAAGTGTACCTATACAAGGGGAAAGTTGCTATTTTCCCTTACTACATCACATGAAAAAGCCCTGTCATGGCCATACAACGTGTGTGTGACCGAAGCAACTGTCGATAAGCTGAGGAACTGACTGAGGGATGTATAAACTGATGGCTTCTCTGGGTAGCACGAGAAAACAGCAAAGGAGGGAACTAAATTCCCATCTCCCATATCTCTTGCTAGCAACCTACCTTTTCAGTGGTTAACTATGTGACTTACGAAGTGAAAATGAGTACCCCGCCCACTTCTAGTGGAAGCAGACAGCTGTAAGTTTTGGATATTGACTTCATAGCAGTTACAGTAATGGTATGTTTGGGAGACAGGCAGAAGTGTTATATAATTCTGTCTACTGTTTTCTATAAGAATCACATATTAATTGATTCTTCAGACACATAAAGCATATGTACAGTAACTACAGCTGCTCTCAAGAGTGATCTTTGCCTGAAATTTATCTGTCTCTTCAGTCAGCATTTGTAGCTTGTCCTTGAGGGAGAAGGGACTAAGGTATCTCGGTGGTCTTTTGTCATTCCCAAACAGAATTGCCGGAGAAGCTCACAACTGAACTTTGCGGTTAACAATATCTTTCTCAAATAGGGGTATCAGAAACCATAACAGCAGTTTCATTACCTAGCAAGGTTATATACAGACCATGAAGATACCATGGACTTGATATTCTAGTGGTTAAAGTAAATCTAAGTGTCATGCAAATAGTGCATTATCATTGAGAGATCTGAATCGCTCTAACTTTGTTTGTTTGTTTATGTATGCTAGATCCTGATGCGGGTGCAGTCTGTTTACAAACATAGGTGAAGAGCAAATTTGCTACAAAATATACCTGACTGGGTCACTGGCTCCTGTTAAATAGTACTCTATTTGGCAAGTTGTGCCCCTGAAATCACTGTGATTACTCTCAAAGCAAGGTGCTGTTTGAAGTGAGTAAAGGTGTTGGCATTTGACTTATAATGGATCTTTCCCAATCACGTGCTCTGTTAACTATATCTTAGATACATAGCAAATGTAAGAATTAGTTTGTGGCAAGTCAGATATCTAAACTGGGTATGAAAGTTAACAGCCCTTTCAGTCTGTTCTTGGTTTTGCAGGGAGGCAGTTTGGATACACATCAATAAAAGGCATCCAAAAAGAGATGACACAAATTTTCCAAATCAAGGTGAGATGTCATTTGGAAATAGGTCTCCTTTTGTCCAAGTCCCTGATGTTTAGGGCTGAAGAAAGAGTAAAGAGTTGTTCCATTTTGAGGATTATACTTTAATAAGCTAGCAATTTATACCAAGTGTACAATGCTAAAAATGAAATGGAACTTTGTGCTGTTTTCTATAGCTGGGTAATATTTTGTTAGCACTGCAGGTCAGTAAAGCTCTCTGCCAAAAATATCCTTCACTATAAACCAGCTTATAAATACTTTATTAAAACCTCTCATGTGGTAGTAGGGAAGACTACTAACCAAAAACTTGTTTTGAGTGTCTTTGTAGTAGTGTACAAACAGCCTATCCAATCTGGAAAGTGGGCAGTGGGATATAAAGATACTTGTCTGTAAGGAGCCGTACTGGACATGCTCACTCTCAAAATTACTGTGACCTGATTGAAGGGCTCAGTGTTACAGATTGAAGGTTTGTGGAACATTTGTCCCTGGTGGATAGTATATGCACTAGGAGAAATGCTTTTCTGTAGATCTTGCTGCCGCTGCTTGCATTCTTCTTGTAGACTGGCGTTTTGCTAGTGAGTAGCCGGCTGGGTCACTGCACTCTTGGTCAACTGTCAGCATCTTTACACTCAGCTTAAGCTCCTGGAGTGCAGCTGGGTTTTTTTGTGTGTCATTGGTGGTCTCATCTGTGGCCTTTCCGTAATCTTTCAGATCAGCTGTGATGCTTGTTTTTCTCATCTTCCGATTGCGGCCTCTAGCTTAGCTGTTCCTCACAGCCAGGTCCCAGACTACTTGTGTGACTTGCTCTTGGCATTGGTCTGCGCCTCATTCTCTCTGTCCTGGAATGCCTCTGTGGCTAATGTTGTAGGGCTTAGAAATGGAAGACATCTACTATAATAAAGAGGTATTTATGCTTTACTTATTGTTGCAGCACCCCTCTAAAAGGCCAGCAGCCATTCTGCTCACCCTCTTGAAAATAATTTTTCATTACAATGTTAATAAGGGCTATTTAAAAAAGATCTCTGAATTCCACAAAAGACTGTGGCTTTTCAAGGAGGGGAAGCACCCGCAGCCTCTGCTATGCACCCAAAGCTAGGAGGTTTGAGATATTGAGATCCTTTGAGCAGCTGAGCACTTTTATTTAGGTATTTAAATTTCAAATAAGAATGGTATTTATGAAATGACTTTCAGTTCCACTGATTTTTCCATGGTGGGTCTGAATCAATTAAGTCCTTTTTCAAAATATACTATCAAATCTTGTAGTGCAGATTGTTAAATTAGTTGTGGTTTTTTTTTTTTTTTGTGCTTGGTGCTATTTCACTCTGTTTTTACTGGTGCAGTTCTAACATTGAGAGAAAAAAATTACACCTGTGGCAAAGAGGTAACTGCTCTAGAAAGCTAGGAAAGGAGTTAAAAAGTTAGTTAAAACATACTACAGAACACAGACCTTTTGAACTTTCAGTACACACTATCACTTAGAAATGACAGTTGCTAACTGCAACCAAAGTTCAACAGAAAAGAAGTTATGTTTCTTCTTCATTGCAAAGAAATGAAAGTGCTTGGAGGCGTAGGGGTAAATGCAGCACAGTAAGAAAAAAAAAAAAAAGCAGCAACCTATTCTGCATTGATTTGACATTGTTTCACATGGATGAGGAAGCAAAGTCTACAACAGAAAAACCTTGGAATAGGGGGATGGTGGTCAGGGAATCCTGTCACTGCCTGCGCTTGCTGACATGGATGTTTCATTTGATCGGTGTTTGTGTATTTTTGGCCTTTGGAGCAGTTGAAGGCCTTTTGTTATTACTTCAGTCTGAAGCTACAGCTTCAGTTTTCACATCTTGTTCATGTAGCTTCTATGTTGAAATAGCTGATGGTAACTTTTTGTCATGGAATTGTCGAGGTGTTTATTTAGTATTCATAAGACACTTCCAAAATGCTGTAGAAGTTAGATATGTTGCTTTTATTTTTTTTTATTTTTACCTTTTGAACTTTCTTTATACACAAATGAAAAATTTGGTTATAACATGTAATTGCAGGAGTCTACATCAACTACATGTTCCTGGCTGATTGCATAACTTTTAGTAGTCTCAGAGAGCTTTTAGTTAGGATTGGCAGTACACTAAAAGTGACTCAAGTACCTTCTGCTGTGAGATATTATTAAAGTGATGGGATGTGCTGCAATATTTCTGCACCCAGTGGGCTGAAAAGGGATTTTTGTATATGTGCTTTAGATCCGAACCTGCATTCTTTTTACATGGGGATTTGCAATTTTAAGGGTAACAGTGTATTAAGTCTTCTGTACTTTTGCATCAACACCAAAGAGCTAAAGGGGAGATGAGATGGTTTAAAACAAAGCAGTGAACTGAAAGAGTTGGAGTCTGCTTTTGCTCCCGTTCCTGACCTCACTGTGTGACCTTGGACAAAAAGTTCAATATGTTTCTGCCTCAGTTATCACATCAGTTAAATAGGGATAACGCCAAAGAGCACCGTTGCTGGTTGCTGTAAGATTTTTGTTTGTATAGACCTCCTGTGAATCTCTAGCACAGAAAAATACCTGCATTTCAGGCCCAAAATTTTCACATTAATTCCTAGAACTACATTAGCCGCATGACACTTTCATATTGCATCACATAAAAAAATAGTTCAGT